ATGGAGAGTAAAATTTCAGAACAGGCCACAGCATCAACAATGATGTCTCAGTCATCAATCAGTCCAGAGGAATGGTTCATATGTGCTCAATCTTCTATTCTCTCTTGTCTTCTTGAACGAGTAAGTATTGGATTTCTTAAACTTTTGGTTAAGTGTTCATTCTCATTGAAAATACAGTGAATGGTTTTTTTACGGGTTTATCTCCACCTATGGATTGATCTCATGCTACTTCTGTAAAACCAAGGTGTTTTAGACGGCAATTCTATCTTATTATGGGACTTCTCAAGACTGCCCACCCGTAACCTCCTCACAAGGGATCGGACCCTAAGGGCTTAAGCTCTCGTGCCAGACACTCTACCATTGGAATCACGTAGTTGATATCCATTGATATAATTTCAATCAGTGTATATAGTATATGACGTAACAATCTGTCAATTCTTTCGGTGTTAATCGTTTTACACCTGATATATATGAAGTCAGCCAATGAGTGTGCACTTCTGAGGAGTCACATACCAGGATAAAACAACCGTCTAGTGTGTATCCTGGTCTTTAATGATATCTTAAGTGAAATCAACTTTTGATTAATACAACGTGTGGAGAAATTATTTCTTTTTTTGACAAAGTATTCAAATAAACAATACCTTATTTGTATAATGATAATAATAAGGATTATTCCACTTAATAACTTACTAACAATTACACGATGAAGAAATTTTTCTCATTATCGTATCTGGATCGTCAAGTGTTATGTCTGGCTGTTGTTGCAGCTACGTCTGAATAGACTCTGTTGAGTCCACAGTTTTACTTAGTAATCGGGAACTACTAAGATTTCCACGATGCTAATTTGTAGCGTGAGAAATTGACATAGTGAAGATTTATGTACTCGCCTAAAATGCATCCCCAAAAAAGTCCCAAAATCACATCCATCCAAAGTCCTGTCATCCATAGACCGCAGTATTAATCATACACATACCATAATATTACATAAGGCGAAACACATTGGCTTATTGTAAGAAACCACTGTGGTCCACCTGAATAATTATAAGAAATATAATTGTCACATTGAATGAAAGTTCATGCTGATCATATATAATAAAGTTTATACTGAATTTGATACTAGGAAAGTTTTAATTGTCATTCTGAACAACACCGTTATTCCTGACTATTTATTTCATATACACAAGCCTCAAATCAAAGCAAACTGAAAATCAAAGCTAGAAGCAGATAATGTCAAGTTTTAAGTCGTTACACAACTTCCTCTTGAAGTAATCGTCAATTAAGCCATCATTCAAAAAAATCAAACCTCACTGAAAACACCCACCAAAGCTGTATATATAACTTACATCATGAATTGTTCGTATTCAGTCAGCTATTGAGCACTGAAAATCACTAAATACCTCCTTCTTCCTTCCTAGTTGTTTGTGACTCATTAGTAGTACGCTTCCATGAGGCCCACAAATCGAACCTAGAACTGTGGGGTTTTATGATGAAGAAATGTAAATCACTGTGTCTTCGGTTTGACCCCCAATGAGTCATGGATTCACACTACTGATGAGTGTTGCATCCCTAAATGCTGATCAATATCGTGCGACGAATACATAACACCAGTCAGAAGCATGTTTTTTAGCACCACTCATCTCTAAATTCTTATTGGTCCACAACTCTTTCCTTCTACCCTGACTCTTAGTCCTCAAGTCCGTAGCCAGCCTCCATAAAATTCAAACAGACATAGTCTGTATAACAAACGTGCATATACACTCTAGTTACTGAATAATTATACAATAAGACTATACATAATAATAATAATAATAATAACAATAATAATAATAATCCATAAATCAGTTCTAAAAGTCACCATTCATTTACTCTTTTTCCTGATATAGTATGAGTCTGATGCTTTTTTTAAAAAAAATACATCTGTTTATCTCGTTTATCTTGTTCTCAAAAGTTGTCTAAGTTCACTCACTCCATGATGCGGACTATGATATCCAGCGTTCATGAAAAACCTTATTTTCGAGAAAAAAAATTAAAGTATATTCTATCTTTTTCTATTTCCTCTTATCCAATTCATTTTAGAAGTAATATGCACATTAATTTTTCACTAGATATTAAGAAAATCATTAAGATTGATGATTGGATTGTGTTATAAATAACCATGAAACATAATTTATCATTTATCTCAATTGATGTCAGTTGATTGACCTAGTAGAAAGTAAAAATCAATTTTTAAGAAAATGTTTTCACGCAATTTTTAATGAAGCTTTGTGATCATTATCATTACTCTATTTATCCGACTTTGACCTACTACTACTACTTCCAGTGTTGAACTATTAACATAAACTTTTGTTATTTTGTATGTTATTAGTCAGTACACCTGTCTACCGTACTTATCAACTTGTACTTTCACTTATTATGTACAGTTACATAATCTAGTTCGTCGTGAGTATTGATTCATACCAAATTGCTTTGATTGGTTTCATGTGTAGATATTCATGTACATTAGAGAGAGTAAAGCCGGATGGCATTCTAAATGGAAACAACAATATATTCTTCGCTTATATATCTATCTGTATTGGTCTAATTATTCACAATAGTTGAATCCCCTAGTACTTCTTCTAGGCCTCATACCATGTTTATTTATGTGTACAATAATTCTTTTGTTTGTTTGTTTGTTTCTTTGATTACAGCCTACAAAACAAACTGATTCAATTGATGATCCAGATGAAATTTTCGATTCTGATGATAGTGAACCATGTTCAACTAATGACTATTATACATACCGTAGTGCTTTATTAAAACAACAACATCGTATTAATCGGTTACAACGTTTTATTAAACATTGTTTTGCTTTAAAACAACGTGAAACAACTGTAAAACATCGTGTGAAAAATTCGTTACATTTTCGTTTAACTGGACAATTTATCAATCATAACAATGATGGTGATGATGATCAGGATGATGATAATAATCATGATAATGACTACAATAGTGATGATAATACTGAAGATCATGTTATTGATGAACAATTAAATGTTAACAATATTGACTATGATCCACACCGATTGAATCATCTTCATGATGATTGTAAAAATTCTATTATAAATGAAAGAAAAATTAATTCTAGTGAATTATTATCATCTAAAAAATTAAATCTATCCAATTTACAACCACAATGGATTTTACGACGTTTACATTTAAATCCAGATTTTATGGATACATGGTGGAGTAGTCAATTGGAATTAGAATTCTATGAAGCATTGAATATAATTCATACAAAATCTGATAAACGCCATACAACACATACTAATTTAAAAGATTATATTGAATTTCATTCAACTGTTGTTGGTAATAACAATGTGGGTGATGATGTTGATGAGGATCAGGATGAAGAGGATGAAGAGGAGGAGGATGGTGAAGATGATTATAATTTGACAATTGATGCTTTAGGCAATCGTAAATTGGCATTTTTCGAAAAGGATCGTCAATGGACTTACAGTGATAGTTATGCATGGAGACTTATACGTTTAGGTTTAATGCAATTGGCTAAACGAGAGCTAAATAGACTTATACAAATTATTGATTTCAATGGAGAAGGTAATTAATTTTCTTGTTTTGATTCAGAACCCAATTCGTTTTCTGTTTCAATTGTTCTTATTCAGCATTGTACAATTGATACGATCAGATGGCTGTGTTTTATTTATTCCTCTATAGTTAGTTACAGGTTAAATTTTAAAAAAGTTTATCACTACAAACTTATATATCAATTCGAATCGGTCAAGATCCGTGTACACCCGATAACAAGTGAATAATTGAACCTCTTGGTATCAATGACGACAAATTACATTATATATATCACCTAATACTCACTTAATGAGGTAGTGTCTATCTAGACTCTTCAGTTCAGGTAACAATGGATTGGCTTTAGTGGTGGAAGTTGCTAATTGGAAGTCTTAGCGTGAATATCAACACTAGGGGATATAGATATATTCATTTAATTAGTTTTAAGTAGAACGAACTATTCGCATCTTTGATATAGATTAAACCAATATTTATATGACTGAAGTATCAATGATTCATGAAATTGAATGAATCCCATCTGTTTAATCAATAAAATAAAAATATCAGCATTGGATTATGATGACTGTTGAGTTTTATTGAGTTCATAAAGTGATCTAAATTAGACAACCGTTAAAAATGTGGAAGCACTGCACCTCTGTTTCGTCCTAGTACGTGCGTCTCCATTGATAGTGCGCAACCATCCACCATCCCGCAACCAGAAATCAAACCTAGGACCTACTGTCTTACGCCCAAACGCTGAACCAGTGGCTCAGTATCTGATGGTGTGCAAGTCTGATGTTAATCAATCCACGATGTTCCTCGATCATCTTCCATTGTATTTGATGGGCATACCCAACACCATTTAGTTGAAAAGATTTTTTATCAGCAATGAGTCAATCACATCATAAATTTCATAAACCAACATTCTTTGATAGTCTATCAATATATAATTTTTCTATGTATATTTACATAGATTTAGCTGTTCACGCACCAGGTTTAATGACGTTAACACGTCTAGTTGATCGTTGGTTAACTGGTTATCGTTCAGAATTAACTTCACCACCAGCATTGTATCCAGTTCAATTAAAATCACAACACAAAGAATTTATTAACGAACATCTTCTACCACCGACAGATTTTCTACCAGATATTCAAGATGATTTATCCTCTTCTTCTATTACACAAATGACTACTGGAATTAAAACTGGCAGTAATTTGGGAACTGGTGCTGAAGTGTCAAAATCAGATTTGCCAACGCCCTGTGCAACGAGATCAATGTTACGTTTGAAAAAGTTGATCAATTTTAAAAATACTCCATTTCAGTAAGTTTGTCAGTCAGTTTTTATCCATATAGTTAGCCATTAACAGTTATAGGTATTGATGTGCCCTCACCTAGAGCCGGATCCTAAATGTCAAACTTATTTTCAGTAAGGGAGGACAATATTCTGGGTCAGTAAGATCTGGCAGTTCAAGGTCAAATGATAAGTTACTAATGCTGACGAGTGCACGTAATTAGTCAATGTTTGCCCTAACTTCCTAATGAAACAGATATACTATGTTAGTTGAATACCTGGGCTTATTTATCGAGGGAGATAGATATACATGCTCTGGTGAATGAGTTTGTGCATTCATTCTGAATCAGGTAGGCTAACACAAAAGCTTCCAGCACACTCTTGATTTTCTCTCTCAAATAGCTAGTTGTGTTTGAGTATCGGAAGCTTATTTATCAGTACCAGAAATGGGTGACTACCCAATACAAAAGCCACCCAGTTGTTTCATTAACTAGCCCATATTCAAAAATGTGTTTTTTTTCTAAGTTGTAGGTAGGCAAATTTCGCTTCTCTCTTTTTTGGTTCAAAAATCCATTTTTTACAATTACAATCGAATTCAATTTCTCTTATTCTAACAGGTTCATAATGTTGCAATTTACCATGATTATTTAAGGCAAATTTCAACTACCGACAAGCCATCAAAAAAACACTCAGATATTAGTACAGTTGTGTACAACTGTCTCATCCTAGTTTGAAACTGAAGTAGGTTATATGTTACGCATGCCCAATCACTGGTTGCCCTTTATTCACGATATTTGCTCTGGTGTCACAGATGAAATAGACTGAAAGAAGGTTTGGAGTTTTCAAACTTTGACATAAGTTCATACAATTTATTGTTGATCTAAGTCATTTTAGCATATTCATTGACTAGGTCAATGTAATTTTCATGATAAGCTTGATCAATATTTTTGAAGTAGAGTGACATTGTTTTAATATTCATTTCTCAATGCCATAAATCTGTTCATTTGTTATTCTTTGTTAAATCTTAATTGTCAGTATTATGTCTATGTTTTGAAATCATATTTCCTATGTTCTATTTGTATCAATCATTTTCATTTCATTAATACTATAATATTATAATACAACCTTGAGCGATTATAAGAGAATGTGACATTGTTGAAATCTCAAACCACTTATTTGATTGAAATTCAAAGTTAAGAATTTAAAAATTAAGAGTTTTCATCATGAATCAACATTGATTGTGACTTTGTCAATTTTTTTCCTCTTACTGGTCAATTGAATCGATACATGACTGACTGATTAATTTATTATTAGGTTGATTGCATCTCAACAACAATAGAATGAATTCCATATACACTGAATCAAACTGCATTTTGAAATGATCATTCTTGTTACAAGATTGAAATCATTTATAAATATCTTCAATAATGAGTCTGAAGTTTGAATAATGAAATAACAATTCATTAACCTTGTGTTATATAATATTTTTACCCCACAGTTAATTTTTCCTATAAAATATAAGAATGTATCTTCAATTAGAGTTATGGAGATTAGTGTTTTTACACATTTGAAATCAATCAACCAATCAATCAGTGTTAGACCACCATTAGAAACCTGGAAGCAATGAAAGACGGCCGTTTCGTTCTGGTATTGGACTCATCAGCAGTGCTCATCCACGACTCCTGCACCTCTCAGAATTAGAACCCTGGACTTCCAGTCTTGTGCGCGAGCGCCTTACCTCTGGACCACTGGGCCAGCGTTCGCGCACAAGACCGGCCGTCTTTCATTGCTTCCAAGTTTTTAATGGTGGTCTAACACTGATTGATTGATTGATTGATTTCAAATGTGTAAAAATGTATCTACTTGTAAATTTTATCATCTAACATCAACATTAACACACCAGTATACTTTTTTTTAATTCTACTTTCTTTCTATAGAACACGTAATCCATTCTCATTGCCTGTTAAACGTTTATGGTGTTATTTAGTTCGACAACCTGAAGTAGATGATATATTTTTACGTCATATATTTCGTAAACCATATCTTATACAATCAATTATGACACCGAATATTCAATTAACATTAACATCATCAACATCATTAACACCATCAACAGTTACTTTCACGTCATCCGAATATAATAACAATGCATCAGGTTTAATCAAATCTACATCCTCATCAAATTTAAAAAATATTTCTACTGTTACTATGGTAAGTAAGACAATTAAGTTTTTTCTGTTGAATTCATTGAAATATCATTGATGATAGGCTTAGATAGTTTAAAATCTGTTGTAAAATGGTTGGAAATATTCAGTCAGTCAGTCAATCAGTCAACAACAGCATAGAACTGCGTACGTACGTAGAGATCAGTTCAAGTTGCCAAACCACGTCAGCACAGAGATGCAATTGTCAATTCAAATCCCATAGTAGTAGAGAGATAGTAGAAGTGTTAGCAGTAAAAGGAGATTTTAGGGTTCAATGATATTATTCAAGAAGCAGAATCTAGTGAAATAAACTTAGAAGAAATGGACGAGGAATTCAGCAGGTTAGGATTTGAGAGAACACAAGGAATGAACACACCTGCGCCATCGCAAACGACTTTGAGCCAGGTTGTTCAAGGTCTCTTACCATCGGTTACTATCGTCTCGCGGACCCCAACCAGGTAACCTGCATCTACCAACATGGTTCACTCCACTCGTCAGTGACTTTATGGACTTGTGCCATGTTCTTGTTTGGCCGCCCCTAGCTTTCTTCCAACCTATTCCTACACCACAAAATATAGCTCGACGAGGCAGTTGGTGGTTGGGCATACGTAACACATGTCCCAGTCACCTCAACTGATGAAGTTTCACCACTTCATCTATTGATCTGCCATCCTTACCTAGTATCCGTTTCCTAACAACAGCATTGCTTACTCAATAGTCCCAAGATAAACTAGCAATGCTTCGAAGACACCTATGATCGAAATCCAGTAACCTACGAATATCTTCTATTCTCACTGGCCATGTTTCACAGCCATAAAGTAGGACGGAGTGAACTACTGCGCAATACACTCGTCCTTTGATTAGTAAACGGATATCTCGTCTACTCCATAAGTGACGCAAGTTGGCGAAAGCCAGGAAATCTCCCTTGATCTAGGTTTCGAGGTATAAGACACATTGATCAACAAGATATACCTTCATTCTTGAGAGGATTCGTATCTCGTGTGAAATTTCAGTGCGCATCATCTAGCTTGACAGCTTAGAATATTCTCATAGAGTTATTCCAGGTCGCAACTGGCCTCCCGTAGGTCTAAGATTTTTACTTCGACTGATCGTCCAGAATTTACCAATGTAGCATTTTTCACATTTAGTGTCGATTGAATCCTATTAATGTGTAGGATAATTTACATAGAGTCATGTACAAGCCCCCTCCTAAGTACCCAGAATGCATTTTGTGCCAACATAAATTGGCCACCATACTCATTTCTTGATATTATGCTTGTGAAGATTTAATCTTACAACTAAACTTGTCTGTAATTCTTCATTATATTAAATTCGTTTCTCTCAAAATTTTTATATTCAATGTCAAGATATATAAACCATGTCTTTACTGTATAGATTGAAATAAGTGGGAGTGTGCATGTTCTAACACACAATGCAGCTATTGAAAATCAGTCAGTTAAATTAGAACTAAACTTGTTCTGTTTTACTGACAGTTATTCTATTAGATCACATTACAAGTGTTAAACTAATTTTGATTTTAAATTAAATCAGTACAATGTTTGTTTCCTTTCAATATCAATTAATCATAATATTGGAAAAAAGTTAGGGGAGGCCAAACCAAAACTTGACAAAAATCCATGAAGTCACTGACAAGTGGACTGAGTCATGTTGGTAGATGCAGATTACCTGGTTTGGGTCCGCAAAACGATAATAACCGATGGTTAGAGACCTTGAACGACATGTCTCATAATCGTTTGCAGTGACGCAGGTGCATTCACTCTTTGTGTTCTATGAAATTCTAATCTTCTGAACTGTTCATCACCTCTTTCTTTCTCCTTCTAAAGTTAACTCACTGAATTACACTTCTCGAATCATATCTTCGAACCTTAATCTTCTTCATAACCGCTAATACTTCTACTATCTCTACCACTATGGGATTTGAATTGACAATTGCGTCTCTGTGTTAATGTGGTATGGCAACCTGAACTGATGTACTTACGTACAAAGTTCTACATTGTAACTGACTGACTGACTGACATAATCAGAATATTTGTGCTATATTCATGTTAAATTTAAAATGATTATGTAATAAACATGTTTCGTATGTGATACATGATGCATGTATAAAATTCATATTGAAATTTCATTGATCCTTATTTTCAGACTGATGCTCAAAAATCTTCAGGAAAACAAACAAGAACACAACAACAACAACAACAAACTCAATCTACTCAACAATCTGTTTCCGGTTCTCTACTCTTTACTGATGCTGTTCGTCTTATTCACAAAGAACATGATCCACTTATAGCTATGTGTATTAATCAGGTAAAAATTTTCATGAATTTTGTTATTATTTGTTTGTTTGTTTGCTTGTGATGTTTCAATTTACAATATATTGAATATAGAATAGTCAACCTATATTTTACAATCAGTATTTTTGAGATTTTTGAGTAGACTAGTTAGTCTATGTTTGTTTGATGAAAAGTCAACTGGAAGGAAATCTAGCTTCAAAGTTTCCTGTTTTTTTTCTACGCCTCAATCACCGGATTAGAAAAACATCACACTGACCACTACTACTCTGTGGTCGATCGTGAATACTCACTATTGAGAAATTCAAATTTTAATGGAAATATTTATCCATCCAATGATCCCTTGTTTACAATGGTTGTTTAACTGAAGTTAGCCCATCATATATAAATTATAATCTGACAAAACTATTGTTTATATAGTCATAATGGATGACCTTAGTTAAATGTTAATTTGTCAACCTTATCATTTAAATAACTGAAAATGTATTTTATGCGGAATTTACTTAAGAAAACGATGTGCCGAGCCGATATAGCTTGTCTCAGCCTTTGGACAAACTAACAAATTCATTTTTCTCGAGTTTGCTATTCACACGTCTTTTGACCTTGTCAATTAGTCGCTTATAACTTGGTTGTTGTACGTACATTTTTTGCCTTTATTATCACATGTCTAAATTGTTTTGGTTTGACTATGATGCATACTTAGTCATGCTTCATCACGCTGAGTTGGCCCACTCGCCTTCTCCGTTTCACTTCGCTTCGATTTTACGCTTCTTTTTTCATTGTCCGTCTACTTACGTAAATGTTTGAAAAAAATCATTCACAAAATCGTATTGCACTTATAATTACCGCCATCGCATAAACGGTGTTCGCTTAATAATGATATACAACAATGAAAAGTAAGATTTATTTCATGTCATATTCAATTGTTCGTTCAAATTGGAGTTAGATTTCCTCCCTGTCCACTAAAATGACATCTGCCATCAATCATCTTTGCTTGTTTCAAAATGATATTGCATTCTTTGAAACCAATGGTGGTCATTTTGAAATTTTGCATTATGATTTTAGTCTGTATAATAAATATCATCAGATCCTACTTTAAGAATCAATAATAATAAACATTAATTATACTATCTATCTACCTCAAA